GTACCTATTTCTTAATAAAAGTGCATTTATAATATGGATCACAGTACCCCATTACACAGCTTTACAGTGCTTGTTTAGGGCTAGGCTAATTGGTGTCTTATTATTAATTTATTCATAAAAAATATTGGGTTAGTTTGCACCATTAAATAAATAAATATTTTCAACACTCACACTAATTAGCCTAGCCCCAAAGTAAGCACTGTAGGCTCGTTTTATGGGATGCTAGGGTAACGGATAGAATACATATACAGCACATACATAAGTATATTTATATAGAAATACATATTGAACATCCATCAAATACAGAACATACAAATGCTCGTATTCATCACACAAACATTTTCCCCCACCGGGATTCGAACTCGGGACTTCCCGAGTTAGCGACAGCATGAATCCCGGCGTACATACCACTCGGACACGGAGGTCGTATAAACCACTAATATGAATACTTTGCCTCAGTTTCGTGACCTGACAAATTTTGTTTTTTTCTCTCTCTTGTGGCTTCAGGGCGGCATCGGCAGCCCCGTCTGCCCTGCGTATAATCCGTCCCTGTCTGTAGCTATCAAAATTCGAGTATCGTCACAAACAATATAATGCCGATAAGTGCATCACACTATTAATCGCACTCGACTAACGCCAGTCATGTTGTATTAAATATTAAAAATAATCATTTACGAGGAAAGTCAGGCAACCGCCAGTCAGTTTAATAGCTGACTAAACACGCACGTGATTTTCAACCTGGTTTATAATGTCGCTTTTGCTTTCAAATGCATTTAGAGCACTCACACATTAATGTTTTCGCTTTGACCCTACAATGATTTAAAAACCGGCCAAGTGCGAGTTGGACTCGTGCACGAAGGGTTTGGTACCATTTGTACAACATAACGACGACCTCCGTGGCCGAGTGGTATATACGCAAGGTTTCATGGTGTCGCCGACTCGATAGGTCAGGGTTCGAATCCCGGTGGGGGCAGATGTTTGTGTGATAAATACGCATTTGTACACCAGTCATGGATGTTTAATATCTATTTCTATATAAATGTACTTATATATATATTCTATCGGTTACCCTTTTTTTTTATTATGCAGGTAAAAAGTCTTTTTACAGACGACGGCGCCTTTAAGAGGCACACCGCCGAACGGAACTTAACACCTGGCTCCCGCAAGTCTTACGAACCCCCCAGTGGCTGCCCACCGAGGACCCCGCAACTCTTACGGGCGCTTTACGGTATAATATCCGCTAAAAAAGTCCTGCGAATACCCTCTAAGCTGTTTAGCGCGAAGCCGCGGGATCCCCGTTTAGGGTTTCTTCCGCGTCTCCGCACCTAGCAGCCTCCCGGCCTAGCCGGGGCTTCACGGCAGGGGTCTCCCGGGGTATCACGGGGACCCCGCAGTCGTGCGCAGGTAGGCCCGCGCGTGGGGGCTGAGTACGCGGCCTAGTGCCCACCGTATCGCCCCGTGGCGACCGCCTCCCATGCCCGAGAGGGCTCCGCATCCCAGCGCCGCAATGAGTTCGCGGCGCTGGTATTCTATCGGTTACCCTAGTATCCCATAACACAAGCCTTACAGTGCTTACTTCGGGGCTAGGCTTATTGGTGTGAGTGTTGGAAATATTCATTTATTATTTATTATAAGACACTATTTACACTATAATATAATATTGAACAAAAAAAGGCAAAAAAATCACGTCTGTTATATGGGAGCCGAACTTAAATATTCATTTTATTATTTATTTTAAGTATTCACTTGTATATTCGTACAACTACGTACATTCGTACAGCATCTACCTGTTGCCGTTATATTTATTCTATTCTATTATAATTTGTTGTTATAGCAGCAACAGAAATACATAATCTGTGAAAATTTGAACTGTCTAGCTATCACGGTTCATGAGATTCAGGCTGGTGACAGATAGACAGACAGACAGACGGACGGACAGACAGTGGAGTCTTAGTAATAGGGCCCCATTTTTACCCTTCGGAAAATGGACTGATGTCTTTATCATGATTAAGCCTTTATTTGAATTAAGAAATTAGGCTTTTTATCAATTTCCATCTTTTTATGGGAGTTTTGAAAAGACACTATACTCTACCATTATTCGCATATTTAAATTCAGGATTGAATCAACTTAAAACCTGTCATATTTTGACAACAGACTCTCCTTTTCTTTCTCTACAGAGCTTGATAAGTATGTCAGCTTCCGGTAATAATGTTCTTTAAGTCCTTTAAGTCACTTATAGCAATGCATTTTTAATTTTGATTCAACATATATCGCTTTCTTTCCGATAGGAACAGAATAAAAGAACAAGTCACTTCAACAAGCATTCAATTTAACTGACGTCTTTGAATACGGCGGTAAGGGCGGTTTCAGACCAGCGTTTTTTTCTGCGTGTATTCGGTCGTTTCGGCATACGCGCCTTCACGCGCTCTGTATTACGCGCTTTTAAAATTCGTAGTCGCATACACGGGCATATTTCGGCGTGTTCGCTCCAACCGGTAGTGGTATCTCTTGCGGCTCGCGCATATACGAGCTTACATGCGCGTCAACGCTCGTAAAGGGTGCGCTTATATACACGATTACATGCGCTTTGAAAAACAAGCATATACGCGTATAAAACGCTAGTCTGAAACCGCTCTGACTCGTACGACTTATTGCAGTGCGCACAATCTTAGCACAGTCTATATCAGGCCATTAAAACTGTTACAGATTAAATTTTCTTCATATTATCAAGCATATAGCAAAAGTAAGTACCTATAATAAAACTTATTTAGCACAGACCAGACTAGTTATAATTTAACTAGAAATCTATACTCCATACTGATATAATAAATGCGAAAATATGCCTGTCTGTTATGCGCATTCCCCACTGTTACAGCAAACATTAACACCAGTGTTACAGGTGGGGAAATTTCTTTCCGGAAATTAACACTATGCTACAATTTATTTGGTCGTTAGCCCGTATTCGGGTGCACGAAAGACATTACTCCTGTAAACGACTAAAGATGACATCCCTTCTCAATATATTATTTTAAACTGTCATGGTCACTAACATTATTGTAATTTGTGTTATTTACGGGATAAGATAAATACTTAAATATTTCCAACACACATCAATTAGCCTAGCCCCAAAGAAGGTACTGTAAGCTTGTGTTATGGGATACTAGGGTAACGGAAAGAATACACATACTGTACAAACATATAAGCATATTTCTATAGAAATACATATTAAACATCCATGACTGGAGTACAAATTCTCTTATTCATCACACAAACATCTGCCTCCACCGGGATTCGAACCCGGGACCACTCGAGTAGGCGACACCATAAAACCCGGCGTACCAGTCCGCCACGGAGGTCGTCTAATTATTACCGTGTACCTTGTTTTAGGCAGTTACTCCGTGATCATGGCGCTTGCAACAGTGCCGAAATATCGGAAACTCGTTGAAAACAAGGTACATGGTAACAATTGTTGGTAATTCCTATTGGACGCACTAAATTATTGAGTGGGGCTCCACTGATGCGTGCATTGCGCACAATCAACAGAATTAATGAAAAGATGGACTTATGCGTTTGTGCTCTGAGCGAATTTACTAAACTAGCTGAGTGGATTATCGGTTTCAGTTAATTATTTTTTCCAATGTGTTTGTTAATGTGTATTATAATGTATTTCATAAAATGGATGTATCTATTGCCTTGGGTATATATATACCTGTAATAATAGATATAAGGATTTGATATTAATAAATAATAAATAAAATAAATAAATTCCGTATGTAACAAAAAATCCCTTCTCAATATCTGACGCACTCGAATATTTTTGATGTGTCACATCTTTCCTCTCGCTTTCCTGCAATTTGTGGGAGTGATTTCGTGAAATGGGACGGAAGCGTGTAACAGGAAGTCGCAAAAGCGCGCGCCAACGACCAAATAAATTGTAGCATAGTGTTAATTTCCGGAAAGAAATTTCCCCACCTGACCGCTAATTGATTTGATATTAGAACATAATGTTCAAAGTTACAATTCCTTTTGTAGTAGGTTTTATTTCTTCTTTTACTAAATATAAGGTGAGGTTTCAAATGTTACACATCATACGCGACTACTGTAAGGCTCTCTCGTTTTTTTCCTATTTTCTATGGCCACAACCATACCATGCAAACCGGCAGATTAATAGTTTTCTGTCATAAGAAACATAAAGTGGAACCTCCAGTAGCTTCTATTCAAAGACTGATGATTTCATCATCATCATGAGCCTATTAATGTCCCCACTGCTGGGGCACAGGCCTTCCCAGGAGATTGGGCCATGACATGACCCACCACGCAGGCCCAGTGCGGATTGCGACTGCGGATGCAGTCGGGACCAACGGCTTAACGTGCCTTCCGAAGCACGGAGGAACTCGAGATTTTTGGTCACCCATCCCATGACCGACCACTGCGAAAGTTGCTTAACTTCAACGATCGCAGCCGAACGTGCTAACCACCAGCGCCATCGAGCTCCTCAACCTGACGATTTGGACGCGACCGAATATCATGGCCGATTGTTGAAAAATTTTCCGCTGCCCTAGATGTTGAACCCTATACATATTAAAAATTGAGGTATGTTGGGAGTACTTCACAAGGTGCAGGGCTGCCCCCCTTATGTTATTCAACTGCGCTCGAGTAAATCCCAAAGTCCCCACTTGGGCTCCCTTACTATAAAGTTATGATGTAGGTATTAAATTAATATACGTATTAATATACGTTTTTCAGATATCATACTACAGTTGACATTCAGAATAATACTTGACAAAAATCAGAAAAAAGTTTTTCTCTCAAAGCTGTAACAGCTGTAAATGATACATTACCAACCATTAGTACATTATATTCGCGTAAACATCACTCATAAATACTTATTGTTTTAGATAATGCGGTTAACGGCTACTTCGTTTATTACGCATACAAATAAAACATCAAATAGTACCGGCCAACAAGACACTTATTCTCTTTCCACTGTATAGAAAGTGAACGTAGTACTTACCTAGCTACTGCTTGGAGTCGCGTGCGCAGAACACACGCGCTTTGGCGGTATAGCGCGACGAACGCTGCCGCCTAACACGAACGAAGTTTCAAAAAACCTACAAAAACTTATCGTTTTTAATTTTATTTTTAATTTTTGTCGTTGTGCCAGTGTCTTTTGCAGTCCAAAGCGGAAACTCAATATGAAACTTTTTCTTATTCTCGGTAAGTTTTTTTTATTTTTTTTTTCCATGCGTGTTGCAAATTTGTAAATAATAAGTTTGTTCCCTATTTGAAATTGGAGCAAAAGTTTTGAACGATCAATTTCATTCGGTTCTCGTTCGATGCTCGCGGCGAAAAGTGCTCGACGAATTTGCATAATCAGCTACCATTAAGTTTTGAGACAGTATGTACTTAACATTAACGTTACTACTTAAAAAGTATCGAATGACCTGTTTTGTTACAATTTCGCCAAACTGGAACGCGGAAGGTGAAATTAAGAACGTTTTTTTTTGTTCCAAATGGTATGACTTTTTTTGTAAGTGCCTTATAATAAAAATGCGACATGTCATTTACGCATCGTCATAATATATAGTTTGCGTATGAGGTGAAACAACCGTGGCATCGTTCTCATGAACTCGGCGATGAGGGAAACTAGCTATCGTCCAATCCAAGAGACCCACAATTACGTGCATTGTCTCCGACAAGGAAGCTTGGAGTTTGTCCGTACGCATTGCGTGCGTCAACCGAACTTTTTGTTCCATTTTTAAAGACAATTCTGAATCTCACTTTCGATCATGATTGTATTAGAGGGTTTGCGCGGTCTTTTGTGTTGAAATTTTCTTTCTGTTACTGAAATTATATGTTATTTTTCAATGACATATGGTTGTTAAAACTAACATCATATTTAATTACCTCATGACCTTTAAGTTAAAGACTTTTTATTTATACTTTGTGAAGTTGAGCAGTACTGTGCTGTAAGAACAAACTCAATTTTCACCTCGCAATCCGCGGTGTGATTTAAAATTAGAACAAAAATTTCAAACAAATTTCACCGGTGAATTCCGCGGTGAAAAGTGAGTGTTCTTACAGAATAGCACTGCAGTTGTGTTTTTCTTCATGTTCGACGTATTTTTTTGAAGTTAAAACTAAAAAAAGTAATTTAGCTTTAGTCTAGCCATTTTTCTTTACATTGATTTAATAGGTAATCGAACCTCACTGTTTCTAAATACAAATTATTATGAATTAATAAAGGCTATGTGAATCAATTCAAATAGTAAAATGAAGTTGTTGACTTACATGTAATTAACGTATATTGTACCTCCTGAAGATGAGATGTGACGGGATGTGATTATAGTTTGACATTTTATTTTATCAATGTATAGTATTAGATTTTTTTATTTTACAAATAAGTGTTTTACATAGACTAAAAGATATGCTCTAAGTACAAAAAAGACATAACATAAATTTTAATCTATATTTCAATTAGTTTTTGCATGCTGGAAACGGCTAATTGTGCGCTCTGACCTAATCATTTAAAAACATCATTGTAACCACAATTAATGCAAATAAATTTCATTTCATTTCATTTGACACCCGCACTCCCGGCACGCATTGGGACAATGCGTGTCGGTTGACCGGTGCAGGAGGGTTGTGTGGTTTTTACGACCTTTTACACAGGGCTAGTAAAAACCAGACAACACTCTTGCACCGGGCGTTAGGTACGGCCCTGCTCATTTCAAAGGTACGGCCAGAGTGCACTCAGAAACCAAGAGCGAGAAATAAACAGTGTAGTTTAAGCAGGGTGGCCATAGTGGCAGCAGGCAACCTGCTTAAACTACACTGTTTATTTCTCGCTCTTGTTTTCTGAGTCTGAATCTGAGTGCACTGTGGCCGTACCCAAAGAACCTAGTGCTGGATGAAAGGAGCAGGGAGGAGTCCCAGATACCTTCATCTCGGTCCCCTGGTGGTTGAAGACAGCGTTAGGCATTTTCCAGACATTATAAAAAAGGGAATCGAACCTGGTTACATTGTCATAAAGACCGATATGCAATAACTCTGGTAGTGTTGTAAAAAAGAAATATTAAAAACTAGTGTCCCGCCCTCGCTTTGCTTTGGAAAAGAATTGATCAAAATCCTTTCTTAGCGGATGCCTACGTCATAACATCTACCTGCATGCCAAATTTCAGCCCGATCCGTCCAGTGGTTTGGGCTGTGCGTTGATAGATCACTATGTCAGTCAGTCACCTTTGAGTTTTATATATATAGATATTTTTTTTTATAAAAAATTGCTTGTAATTCCGTATTTTTAACCTTTATTAAAGACTGTTTAGTCAGTGAGAAGGCGTAGAAGGCGAAGGCTAGAACAAATAAAGGCGTTCTCAGAAGTAATAACTTAGTTTAGCATGTTCCTACCTGTTGATGAAACAGGGTGAAGGGTACAAAAATTAACACTGTAAATATTAATGATGTTCTTGAGTCATTTAGTCAGGGTCACTTATAAAACTACTATTTTATTTTAGGAATACTTCTAGCAAAAAAAAATATGTATTACTAGCGGCCCGCCCTCGTTTCGCTTCGGTGTAGACTACAGTTTTTGTTCTCAGGCTTGTATTATACACAATGACATTCATCTATGATTCTTCTTATACCTGCATGCAAAGTGTCAGCCCGATCGGTTTAAAATTGACAAAGTTTTATACAAACTTTCATTCCCTATTTTATCCCCTTGGGGGTAGAATTGATCAAAATCCTTTCTTAGCGTCTTCCTACGTCATAACATCTACCTGCATGTGTAGATGTTGTTTTGTGATTTCTTGTTTAAAGTACAAAGTAAAACCTTAACCCCCTTATGAATAAACGAAGACTACGCTTGAATTAGTTACTTTATATTTTGTCTCTGTTTATTGAATGATAAATGGCATTTGAATGACATGAAGAAAACAAGGCGTTACCAGTCTAAGCTTGTTCCTGGTTTATTAATAAAGGGGTTCATCATCATCATCAGCCTAATAATGTCCCCACTGCTGGGGTACAGACCTTCCCTATGGATGGTTAGGGAGATTGGGACATGACCACCACGCGGGCCCAGTGCGGATTAGTGGGTGCTAACGACTACAGATGCAGCCGGGACCAACGGCTTAACGTACCTTTCGAAGCACGGAGGAGCTGGAGATAGTAAATTTTTGGTCACCCATCCGATGACCGACCACTGCGAAAGTTGCTTTACTTCAACGATCTCAGCCGAACGCGCTAACCACTTGCGCCATCGAGCTCCTCTAAATAAAGGGGTATGGGATTAATAATAAAATTTTGGAATTATTTTGTTTGCGTAATTACAAACTCTTGACAATGATGGTTGGATTGTGGTAGGTCATGGTTGCTTGAAACGCTGTTGAGTGTAATATTTGCACATTAATTTTAGATGTTCACATTTAAACCTGGTTGTTTTTTTTAAATTGATGATTAAGGACACTAGTGCTGTTAAAACTCAATTAAAGATATAATTGCCATACTTTCGCGCCGTATATTTTTAAGTAAACAAGCTTAATGACAAATGACGACCTCCATGGCCGAGTGGTTTGTACGCCGGGTTTCATGGTGTCGCCGACTCGAGAGGTCCCGGGTTCGAATCTCGGTGGGGGCAGATGTTTGTGTGATGAATACGAGCATTTGTACTCCAGTCTTGGATACTTATAAATGTATCAGGATATGTATTCTGTCCGCTACTTTAGTATCCCATAACACAAGCCTACAGTGCTTACTTTGGGTCTAGGCTAATTTGTGTGAGTGTTATAAATATTTATTTATTTATGTAGCAAAATGGCCAAGCCACATATTTTGAATAAGGTGATGAGTTCGTAAAATTAGGCCTTGTAGAGTTAGGGTGTGTACAGTTACAAGCTTGGGTCAACATGAGATCTGATAACTTTATGCCAGTACGAGTCGTCTTGAGAACATTTAACACTAAGAAAATTTTACTAGAAATAATTCCACACGGATCAGGCAGCAGACGGGACTCCAACCCACACTTTTCGCTATCCGGGCGAATGCACTGACCACTATGCTACCGCGGCCCTGATGGTCGAGTCGAATGGTTTCTAGTGTTTCTTAAGCTGCAAATGGCATGTATTCGCATTTTAGGTAACTTAACTTACAATGTCAAATGAACATCTTTTCTGAACTTAAAACATAAAAAATCAAATTGGCTTTAGTCTAGTCATCTTTATTAACATTGATTTATAGTATCAAACATTTGAAAGAAGAAAAAGCAATTATATTTTTATTTTAAGCAAATTTAAAGAAAACTTCACTAGAAAAATTGCCTGGTCCGCGTGGAGTTTTTCTAGTAAATCTTTCTTTAGATATAAACATCTAACAGTTAAATGCTTAAAATAAAAATGTAACTATCAATTTACATGAAACGTTTACGGTGGTATTGATTTTATCGAAGGAGTTCATCATTGAGTAACAAACTATTTAGTGTAACGACTATTAGATTTTATCGCCATCAAGCAAGACTATAATCAGACACATTTGCAACATACTACATGAAATAACATCGACATTTATTTGCATTTGAAATAACGATCTTCTATCAAATTATCGATTGATTCATATCGATCTCGATGAGATAGTGACATAATAAATGTATGAACTAATAGGTACTTCATAATTCCCAATGTTCGGTTGAAGTTGTTTGAAAATTTAATAATCGTTTGCTCCACAGAAATATAATATTGTGGTTTTCTCTCAAATCAGTTACTTTATAGTTTAATTCCATAGTCCTCATTGGTTTACGAAAGATTAAGGACCGTTTTTGCGACCATTTTCTAATGAAAATATGAAGTTCGTGGCGATTTTTGTATAAGATTTCAGTACCTAGAATTTAATTTTAATTCCAGAAAGTTATGAAGGCAACAGAAACGGTTAGCTAAATTTTGTAAACTGTTCCTAAGTTCTCTATTTTACATCTGGAATTTAATTTCTTATAACTAGTGGGACCCCGGGACTTCCTCTGCGTGGAAAAATTGTTTCCCATACAAACTTCCACCCCATTTTTAAGTTTGATTTTAGGATAATAACTATTCTATGTCCTTACCTGGACTCAAACTATCTTAAGGCCAAATTTCACCTAAATTGCTTCAGCAGTTTCAGACAGAGAGACAGACACACTTTCACATTTATAATATTAGTATGATGAAATATGATACGATTAGATTAAC